TCCAGCGATTTTAATGATTTTTTAATCATTTTTCTAATCACGACCACTGCACTTTCTAAAGTTTGATTATAAAGATGTGTATAAAACTTTTACAATTAAATGCTAGGATTTGTTGATATCAATTTAATGAAAACAATAAAATGTTGTCAAAATAAAAAACATATATTTACTTTTATAATTTTATTATTAATGCATATGTAAACTAATTTCGGTCATCCTCAATTCCGCTAGCGTTCTCTGTTTCATCCTCGTCATCTAATTCGGGGGGAACCACGCTCTTCTTAAAAATGAGTTAATACGGCACCTTTTGCTTACTCAAGTGGTATCGCCTTGGGCACCCTGTACGTCGTCTGTGCAAGATTAAGGTGTTGGGAAAATATGATATGTAAAATAGATTAATATTAACTTACCAGTCATTTTTGATTCACAAATTATTATTTCACTGTGACTAGTTGTCTTGCCAAAAATCTGTTTGGAAATGAAATGGTAATGGTGGTGGGAGAGAAAACCAGGTAAAAATTTTGTTCCTTCTACATCCTTTATATGCTTACTGATAAATCGAAGTACCTGAGGGAGGTGAAAATTACACTTCGGGGCAAAAATATTTTTACGATAAAGTCCAAATATTTGTAAAGACGAGACATGAGTAATAGAACATCTTTCTTGAATACAATAAGAGTATTAACATTTGTTTGAATGTATGTATCTGGATATTTTTTTACTTCATTACGGAAAACAAATACCCATTTAACCCTTGAAGCGTCGGTATGTCGTCACCTACTTAATTCCAAATCGCGATCCGAATTCCAAGTTTTATAATTCTGCTTTTAATTGTATCTATCATAGCGGTAGCAATATTCTTTATATTAGAAATTATAAAAATAAATGTATAGAACAAGAAATCATTGTAACCTGCACAAAATTTGTTCTCTGAATTAATACAAATAGACAGGTAATTTGTCTAAACGTAATGTCGACTCTGGAGAAAGTTTGTTTCAATTTGTCCTCTAAAATGAATCACCTGAATGTGGCCCTAAACATTTTATGTGTTGCATTCCTGATTTCAAACGTCGCAAATGAAATAGCTCATTACCCTAATGATTACTACAACTTTCATTTTAAATGACCGCTTTTGGCCACTGCACTTTGAATATAAGAAAAGAAAAAATTCAGAAATTATTCAGGGTTGTTCTTGTGTTTGCTCTTGGAGAAGACGTCTTGGTGCATTGTGAAATCGTTCTTCGGTTAAATTAAGGTAAGCTTTTAAACAATATATTAAATAAATATTTATTTAGTGTTGTAAACTTGTGTTAGATGTTAGATGAATCTGTACCTTTGAAAAATGGTCGAAATTAATTATTATTCTCTAAATGTTTAGAAGACGCCACAATCGAATAAGTAATCACTAATCAGATTGCTTGAAGCCCTTTTTTGTCGTATGATGGCAAGCCAAATTAGAAAACCGTCAATTTATAACAACCTCGGTAAGTTTTACCAATATGTTTGATTTATTTTAACTCTATTTATCATTTAGATGACATTGTAGTATGCCCTTTTAACAAAAATCATCTACTAGTATGGCATCGTCTTGAAAAACATATTTGGAAATGTCATSGAGAAGAAAAAGAGCAGCAACTGTTAGACGAGAAAAAAAGAAGAAGAAAAGAAGAAGAAACAAGTTGGGATCATTATGATGAAGTTAGCT